GTGTGTGTGTGTGTGTGTGTGTGTGTGTGTGTGTGTGTGTGTGTGTGTGTGTGTGTGTGTGTGTGTGTGTGTGTGTGTGTGTGTGTGTGTGTGTGTGTGTGTGTGTGTGTGTGTGTGTGTGTGTGTGTGTGTGTGTGTGTGTGTGTGTGTGTGTGTGTGTGTGTGTGTGTGTGTGTGTGTGTGTGTGTGTGTGTGTGTGTGTGTGTGTGTGTGTGTGTGTGTGTGTGTGTGTGTGTGTGTGTGTGTGTGTGTGTGTGTGTGTGTGTGTGTGTGTGTGTGTGTGTGTGTGTGTGTGTGTGTGTGTGTGTGTGTGTGTGTGTGTGTGTGTGTGTGTGTGTGTGTGTGTGTGTGTGTGTGTGTGTGTGTGTGTGTGTGTGTGTGTGTGTGTGTGTGTGTGTGTGTGTGTGTGTGTGTGTGTGTGTGTGTGTGTGTGTGTGTGTGTGTGTGTGTGTGTGTGTGTGTGTGTGTGTGTGTGTGTGTGTGTGTGTGTGTGTGTGTGTGTGTGTGTGTGTGTGTGTGTGTGTGTGTGTGTGTGTGTGTGTGTGTGTGTGTGTGTGTGTGTGTGTGTGTGTGTGTGTGTGTGTGTGTGTGTGTGTGTGTGTGTGTGTGTGTGTGTGTGTGTGTGTGTGTGTGTGTGTGTGTGTGTGTGTGTGTGTGTGTGTGTGTGTGTGTGTGTGTGTGTGTGTGTGTGTGTGTGTGTGTGTGTGTGTGTGTGTGTGTGTGTGTGTGTGTGTGTGTGTGTGTGTGTGTGTGTGTGTGTGTGTGTGTGTGTGTGTGTGTGTGTGTGTGTGTGTGTGTGTGTGTGTGTGTGTGTGTGTGTGTGTGTGTGTGTGTGTGTGTGTGTGTGTGTGTGTGTGTGTGTGTGTGTGTGTGTGTGTGTGTGTGTGTGTGTGTGTGTGTGTGTGTGTGTGTGTGTGTGTGTGTGTGTGTGTGTGTGTGTGTGTGTGTGTGTGTGTGTGTGTGTGTGTGTGTGTGTGTGTGTGTGTGTGTGTGTGTGTGTGTGTGTGTGTGTGTGTGTGTGTGTGTGTGTGTGTGTGTGTGTGTGTGTGTGTGTGTGTGTGTGTGTGTGTGTGTGTGTGTGTGTGTGTGTGTGTGTGTGTGTGTGTGTGTGTGTGTGTGTGTGTGTGTGTGTGTGTGTGTGTGTGTGTGTGTGTGTGTGTGTGTGTGTGTGTGTGTGTGTGTGTGTGTGTGTGTGTGTGTGTGTGTGTGTGTGTGTGTGTGTGTGTGTGTGTGTGTGTGTGTGTGTGTGTGTGTGTGTGTGTGTGTGTGTGTGTGTGTGTGTGTGTGTGTGTGTGTGTGTGTGTGTGTGTGTGTGTGTGTGTGTGTGTGTGTGTGTGTGTGTGTGTGTGTGTGTGTGTGTGTGTGTGTGTGTGTGTGTGTGTGTGTGTGTGTGTGTGTGTGTGTGTGTGTGTGTGTGTGTGTGTGTGTGTGTGTGTGTGTGTGTGTGTGTGTGTGTGTGTGTGTGTGTGTGTGTGTGTGTGTGTGTGTGTGTGTGTGTGTGTGTGTGTGTGTGTGTGTGTGTGTGTGTGTGTGTGTGTGTGTGTGTGTGTGTGTGTGTGTGTGTGTGTGTGTGTGTGTGTGTGTGTGTGTGTGTGTGTGTGTGTGTGTGTGTGTGTGTGTGTGTGTGTGTGTGTGTGTGTGTGTGTGTGTGTGTGTGTGTGTGTGTGTGTGTGTGTGTGTGTGTGTGTGTGTGTGTGTGTGTGTGTGTGTGTGTGTGTGTGAAAAATACCAAACAATTACACTTTTCTTTGCCAAGTTTTAAAATTTTAGCCCATTTTTGTGGTTTTGAACTTTGAGGGTGTGATTTGTAATTTTTAAAATTTTGAAAGAGTTTTTAAAAAAATTTACTTTTAAGTTTGGTAGTTGTAAATTCTATGTTTCATGTGTTGGTGGTAATTTTTTAAATGTTAGTATATTTCTTGTAACTCTAAAATTTTGAGGGTGTCTTTTGTAATTATTAAAACTATAGATTAATTTTGAAAAATATTAAATTTCAGCGGTCTACCAATCGACGAATTTGATGTGTGCTAGTTAAAAATTTTGAAAATTTAGAGTTTTTTTTACGATTTTTAAATTTTGAAGGAGTTTTTTTTAAAATTTTTAGGTTAATTTTGGCAAATTTTAATTTTTTAGGTGTCTAAGGGTAATATCTTGAATTCATCTTATTTTATTTATAAATTTTAGAATTTTAGGGTGGCTTTTTATAATTTGAACTTTTGAAGGCGTTTCTATAATTTTTGAGATATTAAGGGTGTTAATTAAAAAATTTAAATGTCAAAAATTTTAGGTGTATCATGGTAATCTCTTGAATTCATCTGTGTTGTTTGTAAGTTTTAAAATTTTAGAATTTTAATGTGCTTGTCTGTAATTTAAACTTTTGAGGGTGTTTCTATAATTTTTGAGACATTGAGGTGTTAACTGTAAATTTTAAATTCTTTGCAAACTGATGTTAATTTTTTAATTTCATATTTTTTATTTTAAGTTTTGAGACATTTGGATGAGTTTTATAATTTTGAACTTTTCAGGATCTTTTCTGCAATTTTAAAACTTTTTATGGTTTTTTTGCAATACTTCATGTATTATAATATGTTATCTACTTGTAATTTCTTTATCTTAACAAACTAATATCATTTTTATGTTTTATATATTTTATTAATATTAGTTTTTTTAAATTATTAAGCTAAACATGGTTCACATAGGATTAGGATAAGATATGATTATGATTAGGATAGATTAAGATATAAATAAAATATTCAAAATAGTGAAGGGTAATATTGACCATTGAAAATTAGAATTTGATTATAGATAATATAGTTCAAACTATAAAGGAGTATATTTGTCTAAAAAAGATTTTCCGAACTCGTGCTTTTAAAGGGAGTATGATATGATTTACCCTTTCAAGTTTTTTTCATTTTTTTGATTAATCCTAAATCACCATTATCAAGTAACAACGTCCAAGGTTACGTTGTAGAAGTTTCAAAATTCAAGAGGGGTTAAGTGCGACAGCCTAAAGTTTGGAAGGTTAAGTGGAATAAACAAAAAGCAATACGGTTAAGTGCAAAATCCGCAGGTATTAAGGCGGTTATTTGAACCCACTCTACAAACAGTAAGGTTGTATTTGGTTTGACTAAAAATGGCAGAAAAGAAAAGAACTGAGAAACTAATTTTCCACTAAAAAGGAAAAGCAAAAGGAAACTGAAAATGAGAGAAAGCATGAGGGAAAGTTGTTTAGAATTTTCCGTTCAGTTCCTTCGCCCAAGCCTAGCGAAAACGATGAAAAAATTTGTCGGGGGAGGGCGAAAGCCATTAGTTGCGCCCGATCAAAAAATTGGAAATCTTCTATATGGTTGTAAATGAACCGAATACGAATCGACTATTGAGATATTGGCGTTCCTATTCGTCTTTTTTTTTTTTTTTGAGTCAAATACAAATTCGAATATCGTTCTTTGATTTTTCTTTGAATTCGAATTCGAATACTAGCATTTGCCAAATATTCATGCATATTTATCGAATATTTTAAATACATTTGTTTGATTAATAATTTTTGCTTTATGAATATTAAATAATTTGATTAAGTATATACATTTATTTGATTAAAGAAGTATTTTTATTTTTCTAAGAATTTGATATTTTAGATAATATTTAAATTCATAATGGAAAATCATTCCCTCATATCTTTGATACTTAACTCTGTAACGTGAATATTTGCTTAAAAAAACTAGATTTTGGATTTGTTAAGACTCAAAATTAGTATAAAACTATATTAAAAAATGTAGGTTGGTCAACAACATAACATCATGCGTGTAATTAATACAAATTATAAGCAAACAAACTTTTATCGAATAATTTATTAAACAATTGAATCGAATATACCTATGATTAAATTCTATTCATTTATGAACCGAATACTAAAAATAATTTATTTATTGTTAAATAAACTATCATGTATCAAACATGTACTAACTATTCGTTATAAATAAAATTATGGCTTAATTGTACTTAAAACACGCTACAACATCCCCAACTTAAAACGCACTATAGTTTCCCCTACTTAGCACTTGACATGTCCCCAATTATTTTGGCAGAAATATTTATATACCTTCAATTCTTTTTTTAAATTTTAACACTTAAATACGCACAGTCTTGGAAGTGCGATAAGTTTCTTGAGATTTCTTATGCTGACACTCACAATCTAATTTTATTTTGTTTTTAATATTTATTAAATTCACTGTTACAGCTTTCAAAATTCTAATTTAAAATAGAATTAGGATACACTGAAAATAAAATTACTATAGTTTTAACAATAATTAAAAAAATAAGTGGTTCAAAAATTTTAAATTTAGCATGTGAGTGACTTTTTCCAACTTAATTTGAAAGAAAAATATAAGAGAAGCGATGTGAAATGTACACCATGAAATTTTTACTGGATCAATGTCCATGATTGTTTATCATCATTATCTATATGTTTAGTATAATTTTATTAGTATAAGCTATTGTTGAGGCATTTTAATATATTTAATAATTATTATCATTTTTCATTAGAATCAATGTTTGTGTGCTTACGTGAAATGTAAAACTTGACATTTAAAAAAAAGTAAAATGCTAAATTGTTTAAAATACAAAAAATAATTCCAGAATGTATCGTGCAATATAGCTTCATTCTATTTTCTTGCCGATTTCCATAAAAAAGAAACAAAACGAGAAGAATTGCTTCTTTATGATTTTCCTTCTGGCTTTCATTACTATTTTCTAGCAAATCAGATTCTTTTCTTTCCCTTTCTCTCGGACCAAATACAGCTTAATTGAAGAGCGTTTTGGTCATTGAGGGACCAATTTGCAAGACCCATAGGATCTGAGGGACTTGTGAACAAAGTTTAACATTTGAGGGACTTTTAGCTAAATAACCCCGTTAGAAATGCATTACCCAGGCCAATAGCGCCTCTCTCCTTCACCAAATAGACAAAATACATTACCCTCCACCATT